GTCAACAGCTTCCACCCACTGGTCGGAGGTCACAAACTCAACTTCACAGTGGCAGAAACCTACGGCCAGGAGGACATCAGCATCCTGCAGACGGCGAGGCTGTGGATCTCCAACATATCTGCGTACATCGGGCCTCAGGAAACGTGTGTTCATGAGGCGCGCATGGCAGCTGCTTTCAATATTCCCATGATTTCTTATGTGAGTATGAGCTGTGTCTTTTTTTTTTGGTTTGTTTGGTTTTCGTTGTTTTTTTTGGCGTTGTTTTGGTAGGAGGCTTGTGGGTGTGGTTGGTGTTGGTTGTGCTGTATGCTGTTTGGATGGCTGTGTGTTTTGTTATGGTCTTATATGACTTTTTTCGGGTGACAGAATATATTTAGAAGAATTAGTATAATATTAGAGTACCAACAATATATACATATATGTGCGTGTGTGTGTGTGTGTGTGTGTGTATTATTTATAGCAAGTTTGAATGTATTTTTTTATACAATTTACTGATAATCCCTATGGTCGTTACAAGCCTTTCCCAGTTGACTAAATATAATACTTTGTACAGTTAGCATGTAAACACACACGCGCATACATTCAACCATCTCTCACAAACAGCTGCAGTTTAAAAAAAACAATAACTAACCATTCCATCTTCATTCCAAACGCGTAAACAATTAATCGAAAACAATAATCCATATGTCTGAAGACAGTTATTAGGAGTTTGCCCATTAGCATCATTGTAAAGCCAGGGTTAATACCACAGTGAAATTACTGACTTCCTCTGTGTAACTCGAGACCGAAACAGATATTAGGAGGGCATGGGTACGGTTGTTCAAGTTGCATGCACCTAACGAGGCCACTCATCCCTGGCTTGATATATCTGGTACGGGAAAGTAAGGAAAAGGATGGGAGTTTTAGCTTGGTCTTACTGTTTTGTCTCTGTCTGTCTGTCTGTTGGACTGTCTGTATTAGTGTCTTCTCTCTCTTTCTGTCTGTCTGTTTGTCTCTATCTTTGTTTCTCCCCCCCCCTCTCTCTCTCTCTCTCCTCCTTTCCTTCCTTACCCTCTCAACCTCTCTCTCCCCCCCTTCTCTCTCTCTCTTTATCTCTTCCTCTTCCACCTCTTTCTCTCTCTTCCTCCCTCTCTCCCCTTCAATCTCCCCTCTCCCCCCTCCCCCTCTCCTCCCTCCATCTCTCTCCCCGAAACAATGTTTGATAATTATTTAAACGAAGTTAAAACACGCCCAACTTCTACCCGGCAATATTAACTGCAATCGGGGGACGGGGGGGGGGGGGGGGCTACGGTTTTCGGCAAGGGGCGGGGCACCTGTTGCGGAAAACTGGTTAGGCTTCCAGAACTTTCAGAGGGAAGGATCTGGACGCTTCTCTCTCTCTCTCTCTCTCTCTCTCTCTCTCTCTCTCTCTCTCTCTCTCTCTCTCTCTCTCTCTCTCTCTCTCTCTCGATTTTTCTTCGTGTTCTTGTGTTTTTTTCTTCTTCTTGTTTTCTTGTTTTTGTTTTTTTTCTTCCTCTTGTTCTTGTGTTTTTCTTCTTCTTGTTCTCTATGTTTCTTCTTCTTCTTGTTCTCTATGTTTCTTCTTCTTCTTGTTCTTGTGTTTTTTCTTCCTTTTTTTCTTCTTGTTCTTCTTCAGTTTCCTTTTCTTTTTTTCTTCTCTTCACATTTTCTATTTCTTTGCTTCTTGTATTTCTTCTTCTATCCTTTTTTTTTTCTTCTTCGTAAATAATGCTGATGGTTATAGGCCATCATAACGATGGTAATAACGAAAATGAGGATAACAGTAATAAGCATAGTGATAATGATAATAACAAATATGATAATGAGCATGATAGTAACATTAACAAAAATGAAGAAAATGACGATGATAATAATATCAATAACGACAACGATATTTATTTCAATCTATTTCTCTCTGTTTCTATCTTTTCTATCTGTTATTATCTATTTCTATCTGTTTCTATTTTGGTGTATTTTCCTCTATTCCCTTACATGCCGATTACTCCTAGTACAGATTACGAAATATCTGTAACGTTAGTATTTCTTAAATATTGCAAATAAAAAAACAAAAAAAAAATACTCCTGTTGCACTTTGCCAATGTCTTTGTTTGTGTAGTGAATGAAACACAGGAAATTTCTTTTTTTTTTTTTTTTTCTTTTACATCTTTGTTGCTCGCCCTAATAGCATTCTAGTCGTAAAAAAATGCATTTCTTGTTCAAAAGTTCTGAGTGAAATTGTACCATTTACCTGTTTCCTATTGGATTCTGCTGTTTATCCCGTTTATTAAAACTCTTAGTGTTATTGTCATTCTGTTGCTTATCTCGATAATTGTGTGACGAAGTTCAGATTCAGAGAGAGAGAGAGAGAGAGAGAGAGAGAGAGGGAGGGAGGGGGGGGAGGGAGGGAGGGAGATAGATAGATAGATAGATAGATAGATAGATAGATAGATAGATATTGAGAGAGAGAGACAGATAGACAGATAGAGATAGAGAGATAGAGAGATAGATAGAGAGAGAGAGAGAGAGAGAGAGAGAGACAGACAGACAGATAAATAGATATACAGATAGCCAGAGAGCAATCAACCGAAGGGGAAGCGGAGGGTCCCTCAGCCCTCCTCCGAGAGACTCACAAAAAAAACAAAACAAAAAAAAACGATCACAATGATAATGAGGATGTTTTGGGAGGCAAGCAGAAGAGATGGAAAAGCCATTATTTCGTCTAATGTATTTCTTGCGTCGTTTCGATGAATAATGAAAAAGCTGTTTCTTTCCATTAGATATCTTAAGGAGGTTGAAGATGTGCTGAGGGAATTTCCTGAAGCAAATATGTTGCAATTTTGAGTCACTGCTGACGGATCTGCAACATGGCTGCAACTTTCGATATTGTTTAGCTATGTAGAGAAATGTTTATCTATTTACTCATTTAGAGGAAATAAACATTTATTCAAAGAGACATATATTTATCTATTTAGAAAAATATTCATTTAGAGAAATGTATATTTATTTAGAAAATGTATGTTTATTTAGAGAAATATTCATTCATTTAATTTGAGAAAAATAATGTTTACATATTCTGAGGAAAAAACAATAAATAAAAATATTAATTTATTTAGACAAATATTGATTTATTTAGACAAATATTGATTTATTTAGACAAATATTGATTTATTTAGAAATAAATATCTGTCTATTTAGAGAGAAAAATATCTAGAAAGATATCTATTCATTTATTTAGAGAAATGATTATTTATTTATTTAGAATGTATAGATCATTGAACTGGAAAAATCAAGTACAGAGACACATATACACACAGACATGTGGAATTCGTGTTGAACAAATTGCAATTAGAACAACGAAGGGAAGAACAAGAAAACACACGAATATGCCGAAGGTCTTTTCGCTTTATTGCTTCTTCGGGGCAAAAGGAAGCAATGAAGGCATATTCGTGTGTTTTCTTGTTCTTCCCTTCGTTGTTTTGTTTGCAATACACGCAAATATACATAAACACAAGCACGCACACACACATGCACACACACACACACACGCACGCACGCACACGCACACACACACACACACACACACAGACCGCATACACAAACATACACATGAACATGATTAATAAACAAACATAAATAAATCTCGAGAGCGTGGTTATATTTGGGGAAACAAAATCAAGCAAAACCTGATGAAACAGATTAAGGGAAAAAAAATCGGAGGAAAAGGGAAAAGAAAGATAACGAAAAAGGAGGAAAAATAAAGTAAAGGGAGAAAAACGAAATAGAAGAAAAAGAAAACCAAAAAAAAAAAAAAAAAACGATAATGAAGGAAAACGAAAGAAGAGAAAAAAACACAAACAAAAAAACGAAGAAAAGCGAAGAAAGTAGATGAAAAGGAGAAATTTCGTTTTTTTCTGTCCCATATTACAAGGTACGTCCCCGAGACCATTTCCACGAATAAAAAAAGGGAAACGGATAGAGGCAAGGAACATATTGAAAGATCTTGAAATTGCTATTTTCAACCGTCTTGCATATCCCTCTGCAGACAAACACACATATAACTGAATGTAGGCCCACATATATACATGCAAACATAGACACACATATACACACAACTGAAAACAATTACACTTATATACAAGCAAACATAAACACACATACACACACAACTGAAAACAGATACACATATATACATGCAAACATAGATACACATACATACACACACACAACTGAAAACAGATACACATATATACATGCAAACATAGACACACACATACACACAACTGAAAACAGATACACATATATACAAGCAAACATAGACACACCTACATAAGCACACACACAACTGAAAACAGATACACATATATACATGTAAACATAGACAAACACGCACGCACATACAACTAACAACAAATACGCGTACATACATGCAAACATGGACACACGCACGCACATTGACACAATTAAACCCGAACATAGACGGATACCCACACACATACACTGTATTACTACAACTATTACTACTACTAGGGAGAGAGAAAGAAAGAGAGAGAGAGAGAGAGAGAGAGAGGAGAGAGAGAGAGAGAGAGAGAGAGAGAGAGAGAGGAGGGAGAGGAGAGGAGAGAGAGAGAGAGAGAGAGAGAGAGAGAGAGAGAGAGAGAGAGAGAGAGAGAGAGAGAGAGAGAGAGAGAGAGAGAGAGAGAGAGAGAGAGGGGGGGGGGGGGAGGGAGAGAAGAGAGAGAGAAAGGGAGTGAAAAGAGAGAGAGAAAAAGAGAGAGAGAGAGAGAGAGAGAGAGAGAGAGAGAGAGAGAGAGAGAGAGAGAGAGAGAGAGAGAGAGAAAGAAAGAGAGAGAGAGAGAGAGAGATTGAGAGATTGAGAGATTGAGAGAGAGAGAGAGATTGAGAGATTGAGAGAGAGAGGGGGAGGGGGGAGGAGGAGGAAATATAGAGGGAGGGGGGGTAGAGCTGGGGAGAGTGAGATAGATAGAAAGAGAGAGAGGGAGGATAGAGAGAGGGAAAATAGGGAGAGAGTGAGGTAGACAGATAGATAGATAGAGAGGAGGGAGAGACAGAGAAGAGAGAGAGAGAGACAGAGAAAGAGAGAGAGAAAGAGAGAGAGAGGGAAAATGAGGAGAGAGAGAGAGAGAGAGAGAGAGTGAAGAGAGAGACAGAGACAGAGAGAGAGAGAGAGAGAGAGAGAG